TACATATCAATCCGATTAAATCACTTTTATCCCATTTCGAATTATTATAATCAAAAGCAATGTTAAAACCTTATTTTTTAATAAACACGAAAGAAAAGAATGGTTGAAATCTAGCATTATAGTAGAACTCTCGAATGGGTCTCAAGCCTCACACATTGGAATAACCGTTCATTCTTTTCTTTCGTCCTTAAAACACTTTAATTAAATTGGACAAATAAGGATCGTTTGGATCTAGCATTCTGGCGTAACTCTTTGAACAATTGATTATTATCAAGCGTTAGTTGTCCATCAAACAATTTTTAAGATAACATTGAATGAAAAAATGGTCGTTGGGATCTAGCATTCTGGCGTAACTCTTTGAAGAATTGATTCTCAATCAAACGTTCATCATTCACCTAAAATATATCCAACCAATCAAACTTTTTTCTCGCCGTCGTGCTATTAACCCTAAAAACCTTTTTTAAAAATGAAAGACATGACCGTTGAGTTGAGATAAGAGGGTGGATGTGATTTGTAAATCCATTCAATGTGGTTAAACGTCCGCTCCTCACATGTTTTGAGTAAAATAGTGTTTTTCGTCGATTAATACAAGATAGCTTTAAAATCGACAAAAAAAACAACTTTTTTTCATCCAGAACTACGTGTTCCTTGATTTCTCTTTTAAGATATGTAGGAACAGGATCGCAGAATCTTGTCAGGCCCCTTAGTAATACAAACCTTTTTAGGTCCTTTCTCTTTAATAAAAATATTAAAAAACATTTCTCTTTTCCCACTCAATAAGTAGAAGATTAAAAATTAACATTAGCTAACATTCTTTCGACCTTAACTAAATGGTTCCTGTTGAATACAACGGACATGAGGGGTGCTAATACCTTCCCCTTGCGTAACTGACTCTCGAACCCTGATATTGGTTGCGATGACCATATCCTTGTTTTAGGGGTTTTATTCGATATTTTCTCTTTTCCTCTATAGGAATAAATGAATATTGGTGGCGACTCTATTAAGTCCATCCTGTAAGCATGCGATTACGCTTCGCGAGATTGTGCACTCAGTTTTTAAGCTATGTCACCTACCAATAACCACGTTGGTAAGTGCAATCTATTTTAGGTTGGGATCACTTTTTGCAACCACATGAAAAAAATGAAGTTCGGTGTTACGGTCAGGGCAATTATTCAATGAAAATTGCATGAAAGTGATGAAGGAGGAAACTATCAAAGCTAGCACACATTCGGTTACAATATTTTACCATCATAGACACACTTTTACTGTAAAGGAAACAATGAACCATAATGAGGGAAGGTGAAATGAAGACTATCAGGACGAACTTGTTAGACAAAAGAAACTTATCTAGAAGGGGTGAATAGATTCCAAGTTTTAAAAAAAACTACAAAAAATATTTTTGAAAAATTTGACGGCTAGCGGAGGTGTTCCGAATCGAATCGTCTAAGTCGAACCACTATCGAAAATCCCAGATATGTGTATATAAAATCAAGCTATGATAATGAGAACAAATTGATCAACATACTTTTAACAACAATCACTTGAACGCTATAACAAAAGTGAAGTCTATTTCTAATGACAAAATACACAAAAACGCAATTGAGGCAAATTATCGAACACCTTGTATGCAATCAATTTTGTTTAGAATTTTGTATGGCTTGTTGATTTGCAAATCCAATCACAATCAAATAGATTGTGATCAACTCAACAAAACCTTTTTCAAAAGTTTATCAAAAATTTTAACCAAACGTATTGATTGCACAATCGATGAATTCAACAATTTGCAAATGAAAAGTAAAAGAGATAGAGAGAAAGGGTACACAAGGATTTGTTTAGGTAGTTCCCCAATAAGTCTCGCTATGGGTACGTCTTCCCTCAATTTGAACTCGAATTGAGATAATCAATCTTACTTTGCAAATGTAGTTTACAAGAGAAATGTAGCAATACAACCCCCTAAAATCTTATGTTTGATGTTGATTCTAACATTTTTTCTTCTCTTGATATGAGCTTGATCAAGTCACCCAATAATACCAATTTCATCCACCGTCTCACGCTACTCCTTTACAAGAAATCCCGCTTTTTAAAGCTTTCACTTGATCGAATTCAAATTTTGAATTGTTGTCAGCCAAGATTTACTCAATTTGATCCACCGTCTCATGCCACTCCTTTGCAAGAAACCCCGTCCTTCAAAACTTTCACTCTATCGAATCCAAATTGCATAATCTTATCCAAAACCTTCAAATTCCCAATTGATCTTGAAGGAAAACACCAACTTGATTTTCTTATTTGAAACTCCCATAGATTCTTAACCCAGTTTACAATTCAACAACCTAAATTGGACATTATCAATTCTGATTCTAGATGGAACCCAAACAAAAAATGATTATGTGTAATTTATTTGTGTTTATGCATAGAACATATGTTGAAGATGAATAGAACTTTTGTATATTTCTAGTTTCACACCTTGAAATGATGCATGTATGAAGTATATATAGTGTGCAAGTTGGAGGCAAAAGGAATACGAAAGATTTGAAAAAATCATGAATTTTTGAAAAAAATACATCGTATCTGTTGACCTATGTAAGTTATGTGTCGACCATTCAAAGCATGTGTCGACCTGTATAGGTCATGTGTCGACTCATAGAAGAAAATTTTCTTTTATGTGTCGATCTAAAAACCTTCCACAATCGACACATTAAATAGAGACTACATGCTTTAAAACTCATCAACATCTGTCGAATCATACCTTGCGTGTGTCGACTCATAGAAGAAAATTTCCTTCTATGTGTCGACTTGTATGCTGCATGTGTTGACACATGCATAAACAGAAGCTACAGGCTTAAAAATTTAACAACATGTGTCGACTCATACAATGTATGTGCCGACACATAAGTCTGTGTTTTACATAAAAAATACATTCCTTCCATGTAAAATAATTTCTAACCTTTTCTAAATCATTTCTAAAATGTTTTTATGCTTCATAATGCTAAGATGCACATTAAGACTCAGAAGATACTGTCCAATATACATAAATGCTAAACTATTCTAGTTTTGACATCATAGAAAATACATCTAACGAGAAGTTGCACTCACACAACTAAATAGAGGTTGGTGCGATTGTGGCAAATTTCAAGTCTTTCATATGCCTTGTTCCCATGTCATTGCAGCATGTTCATATACTTGTCAGAACGCTTCCAAGCACCTATCTTCCATTTACAAAGTCATAAATGTATTCAATGTCTATAACAATAGCTTTTCAGTGATAACAATGAAGGATTATTGGTCTGCATATCAATGGTACATAATTTGGCACAACAAAAATATGTGAAGGAAGAAAGAGGGTCACCCTAAAAACATATGTATTAGAACAAAAATAGATACAAATGATAAAGTGGTAAGATTATGTGGTAAATGTCATCAGCCCAGACACAATCGAAAAAATTGTCTCAATATTGAAACAAGTTCTACATGATAATTTATCTTTTTCTTTAAATTTTTGTAACCATGGTATTATATATAAACACCTTAAAATAGACAACATGTAAGTATAAACACGTCTAAAATAACAACACAAACAACAAATAAAAAAACTTAACACCACAATATATCTAAGAGATTACAATAATAATAAAATATCATCTGATGTAGACATCATATCTCTAACATCCCTGTCATCTTTGACTCGCACCTACATATGTTACATAACATTATTGTCATCTGCAATTGAGATGTACGAAACGAGTCTCTCGATACTTCTAATTCTTTTCTCCATCATTAATCTCTCTGTCTAACCAATTTTTTTAAACTCCTTTTAAGATGCTCGAAATTTTGGATGTTCCGAAAATGCATTTACATCGGAGGCTTCGTTTTCGAAAAACATACATGTCCATTTCTTTTAACAATTATGATAGAGTTGGTGAAGAAAAGATAAAAGGAATATGAAAAGAGATGTGGAGTAAATGGTAGAAGACCTATTTATACCAAAAAAAATCATCAAACACACAAATGTCAATTGAATTGGAGCTACTATTTAACCCATGCATGCCGTCGCCAAATAGATTGACAACACCACATGCAGACAACAATCAATTGGGGCCACCACTTAATTTTTAAATGAAGTTGCCAATTCGCTTGATAACAGCTTTTCAATCCAATTTTTTTGTTTGAAAATAAATTACTTCTGAAAAATGATATTCTATGTTATGTTGGAATCAGAGTCTTCGCATAATTGAGATGGAGTTCTTTCACCATTTCTTTCTACTGCAGAGCTCTGAGTCATTGAAGTTTAAATAACAAAAGTTGTAGTGCCACAACCATGAAGGATATGAAACAGATACTTTGACACAATTTTGATCTTCAAAAATTTCCTATTTTTAGTTAAAACATTTGATTTAAAGACATCTTAACCGCATCAACTAGTCCCTCTTTTGGATCATGAATTTCATAGTTCTCTCATGGATTACAATTACACAACATATTTCTTGCAACTGTCCCAAATTGATCATATTACTTTAAGATTCAGTACGTAGCAAACATCATCTATACTCTACATCTTCACCTTCATCTACACTTTGACACTTCCTTTCCCATAGCACTCATGTTAAAGTTATTTCCAAGCTTGTCATTTTGTCGAAATTTTTCATTTAAATCACATAAGTTTCTATTGAAATACAAAATTCATATCATTGAAAGTTGAGAGTGTCATTTTATCTGTGACACATTGTTTTTTTAACATAAATACATGGAGAAATTTGAATAAGATTTTATAATAAAATACTATAGATATAAAAAACAAGTCCCTTAACTAATCACAAGAATCAACAAAGGGATCATGCTATGACCCTCATAATTTTACAAGTTCCAACACTTTAACTTCTTTATGCTTCTCAATCACAGGAAACTATACACTGCTTGCTAATACATTTTTCCCACTACTACACTACACAAACAAACGTTGAAACACAGATAGCATCAAATTTCTTTTAGAAAATGGAGTTTCTTCAATCTGATTTTCTTTTCGAGCCTGCTTTATCTTCTTCACCAAACCGGAAAAGGCATTTGAATGTCCATACTGCAAAAATAGTCCCCTCTATAGGGGCAAGCCAGTAAACAAGGAAGTGCTCTTTTGTTATGTGATCGCCTCGGGCGTAAGCCCATCCCATTACCTAAACATGTCAATCAAGTTTCCATGAATATTTGTTGCGGAAAATAACTACATATAAATTGGATGTAATGTAACGGTACTTACAGATGCGGGGTTCATACAACCACCAGTGAGATCAGAACCAAGTATATGAAGTGCTAACTTGGAGAGACTGGAAATCCACGTCTTCATGAAGAAATTTCCATGAATTTTTGTTGCGGCAAGCCCAAGTGAAATGCTTACGATTAAAAATGTTAGTAATCCTTCTGTCAGTGCTCCTTGATGAATGTCAACATTCAAACGCGGACCCTGTCCTACTTCGGGAATGGTGTATATAAGAAATTTAACTGCAACAATAGATCCAAACACCTGAAGGGATTCATAATATGAGACATTCAGATTTAGGTCTTCGATTGAGATGCGTGTAAAACGGTTCGTGTATAAACTCAAACATGATGTAACACAACACTTTGCCATATCAAGGACAGTTGAAGTTTCAAGTATGACGAGAACCCAAACTAAATCAGCCAGGCAAGGAGAGGGATTTCGTTGGAATCAAATACATAGAAAACTATTTCTCATTGAAAAACTCATGTGTCCGGACTTTGACCCCGACACCATGGTGATCAAAACCAAGATATTGAATCATTACAGATTGTTGATTAAACATGAACTAAAAATTCTTAAGAAAATCAAACACGATTCATAAACCACAAATTAACAACTAGCTCGGGTATTAACCAGTACAACTTAACAAAATTTGTAAACTAACAACCGCTGTGATTGGGATTTTGCAAGTCATCAAATATCGTAAGATCGTGATTTTGATTATTAAAATGTAGCTTAAGAGGTTGATTGATAAGTGAGAGCTGGAAAAAAGAGCAGAAACATATCTCAGAAAAATTACGGGAACAAAGGGAGAAAAAGAATGAAAATCCTGATCACGAGACTCTATGTTTTTACCTCACCGTCACATTCACCAACCAGGGTGGGCAATGCCTCAGCTAAGATCAATCAATACCTTCCAAAATGATCTGGTAATCAATTTTAATCTAATATCCTAATCGACCAATTCACATGTACCCTGTTTTTCGCGGAAGCCTTGAAATTCAATCTAGTGTTTCTTAAATATTCAACACAATTTGGAATCATTATAGTCTAGGTCACAAACAATATACATGCAAATGCAACTCGGGGCCTTATATATTATGAGGCCGTCTGTTGTAGCTCATCTTGCACACCCTCAAAGACGGTGCGCGTATGAATGCAAAAGCATGTAACGTTGACCATGTATATGCGAGCGCGATTGTTCATAAGAGACCAAGTTGATATCTAACCACATAAGTTCATCAATCATAAAGAAACGGCAATAAAATGACATTCTCAATCAATCCCTAAAACCTATACAAACATATAATAACAACAATCATAAAAAGAAGAAAGAAGATTAAGGAGATAAACCTGAGCAGGAATTCTAGAACCCACACAGAAAAGGAAGTTACGAACATCCCCAGAGATAGCACCAGCCAAAACGGTGAGAGGATTGTAGACGCCACCACGAGAAACCTTGTTAAGGAAAGCAAACAAGAACATGTTGGCAATGGAAAATAAAAGCTTCACAATCTCGGCGAGATGGGTATGAGAAAAACCCAGAATTTTGAAGACGATTAACCGAACGAGAACACCAGAACATACCCACATGAAAGAAAGAACAAAATCTGAAACAAAAATAAACCTACTTCGTTGTTCCATCTTCAACTAGAACAAAGAAACGATGAATTAAGATATGGTTTTGTGTTTGGAATCTGATAATAACACATTCTTTAATCGCATACTAAAGCATTCTTTTTTTTGTCAATTTAAATTTAGATTGGCACCTCCAAATCAAGTAAGTTTATTGGATGTCTTTTTGTGCAATATACAATTGTAAGTTTCAAAAGGAAAAGTAAATTCTTTTTTCGTAACGGAGATTAAATTTGAAATGTATAATATAAGAAAATTGGAAGTTTTGGAAAATTCTCTAGTGCTCTATTATCTCAGTCTATTATCTCAGTTATGTCACCTCATTAAATTGAGATATTTTGTGTTTAAATGTTAATTTGTTTTATTTCAACTTTATGTTTATACAATTAAGTCATGATTGTTTATTTGATAATGTTACATGCTTCTATTTGGTTTCAAATTAACTTACCAATTTAATCTTTTTTTTCTTTCTCTTCCTCCAATGACATATGTAATTCACTTTTTATTTTTTTTCTCTTCTCTCTCGTTCTCTTCTTTAATCCTTTTTCTCTGTCGTCTTCATCTTCATCTCTCTTCACTTTTTTTTCCTTTTTGTTCACATGTTGGTGCTTTAGGATTTTGCTTTCGAAATTCACAAGGTGTTATTTTTTTTTCATTTTCTTTGATAACAAGACAGTGGTGATTTTTCTAATAATTGAATCGAATATTGGGTGAAGAGTTGTTTCATGGCAAAGTGATTATGTGTATGTGGAATGACATTTGTTGTACTTCCTGCAGTTGCTAGACGTAGTCTTTAGGAACCCCTTCTCTCGTCTATCCGAACTTTTGTTCAACTGTCACTCAAATTGTGTTTGATTATTTGAATTTTTTGTTTGTAGATATTGTAACCCTAAAAAGGTTAGATTTTATGCAATTGAGATTATTGGATAATGAAAATGTTTAGCATTTTATTTTTACACGGAATCTGTATCCAAAATCCTAGATATATAAAATCCTAGATATATAAGTATGTTGTTTTTTATTCTATTGAGACACGATAGGAAAGCCTCTATGCTTGAGTATTTTAGAGTTGAATGGTTGTTGCCTCTATTTTTCTAAGCAATTGTTTTGAGAGTGATGCTAATTAGTTGCTTTGTTGCAGGTGGTATGGGGTAAAATATCGATGGTTCATGCAGAGTGACGACTTCTGGAAAATGCGCTACAAGATCTTTATAACCAACACTTTGTTTTACTTTCCGATAGGCAATTTGCTTGATATTTTTTGCACGGTTAGTTAGTTTGTTTTAATTTCTGATCTTGTTGCATTGGTTTTGAAATTGTATACCGCCGTATAATTTTGATTATATTTTCGATTATCTGATGTATACAAATGTTAGCTTTGTAGACTGGTATGCAATGTTTCTTCCGAATAGAGTTGGTTGATCTTTTCTTTTACGGTTGTGTGGAAAGATTGATGCTCAAAAAGTGTTTGGTTATGCTCTTTTCAAAGATGGGAAACATACTCGTCTCTCTTATCCCTTGGAAAAGTTTCACTCAGATCTCTCTGGCAGAAGTTTTCACAATGGACGTTTTATTCAGAGGATGCGAGAGAAAGTTGTCTCCCTTCCCAAATATCAATTTCTTCCTTTGGATGTATATGTATGCTAGTGTTGTGTATTCTTCCTTTACTAGCTTCTGTTGGTAATATATAGATTTTTGGAACTATACTCCGATATTTTTGAAACTGCCTGTGATTCTTTACTACATTTAGGACTTAATTTAGGCTGATTTGATTGATATCTATGTTACCTGAACCAAAGTAGTTATATTGCAATTTTTTCTGCTATTAGTTTGTGTCATGATCATATCATCCTGAGGACTGCCAATTAATATAAATTTTCATAATACAATCGGAAGTCATTTTTGAGAATTTTTAATGTACTTTTTAATACTTTAATTGATCTAAAAATATATTCCTGTTAGCATATGTTAATGGTAATTTTCCTTTTTCAATGTGTGTAGTGTAAATATGGAACAAGGTGTGCAATACAAGAATTAAGATGGTCAGGAGTTGACAGCTTATGCTCCTCTTACCATTGTTTGTGATGGTTGTTTTTCAAACTTGCGACGTTTTCTTTGCACCCCTAAGGTGAGAATTCCTTTCAGCATAATCCTGTAAAGGCTTTCTCACTACTAGAAAATTCGTTTTAGTGACTGAAAAATTTCAGTCACTCTAGTGACCGAATTAACCACCAAAATTAGACATAGTGTTAGTAAAATTTTAAAAGTCATTAAATCGCTCACTGAATAAAATTAGCCACCGAATTAGCAACTGATATTTTGTGACTATAATTTTAAGTCTCAAATAATCGTTTTTATATAAATTAATTCATAAAAAAAATTCAGTAACCCAAATTCCGGTCACTAATATTTTTTGTTTTTTTTTTTCATTATTAAGTTACTTACCTCCCAATTTTCTCCTTTTATTTTATAGTCAAAATTTTACATTTTTATTGTTTTAACAAATAAAATATATATTTATATAAATAATTAACTCATACAAATTTATAATTTAGATAAAATATAATTTTAATGACAATTAGTGTAAGAATCTTTTTAAATAATATTTAAAAGTTTTATTTCATTAATAATAATATACATTTCAGATGGAAATTATACAATAAAAATCAAATATTTTAGTGGACACCTAAAAGCCTCACAAAGAAAAATGCATTGATTCAATTTTTGCTAGAGACAACTTTTGTTTTATTGTAAGTTTTTAAATCTGTCACTAAAATCAGTTGCTACTAGTCACTTTTTTAAGTCACTAAACGCGATTTTTTTAATAGTGTCTACAATCATATTGTTAACTTTTTTCTCTAAAATAAACAACAATGATGACCAAAAAAACATTTGTTGTAATTCATTTAGAGTTGTTTATGTCATTTACAATAACGATATTTTCTTACTACTAGAGATTCTCAGTCATGCACAAAAGTCCGTAGAATTTTGGATTAACATTCTATATTGCTTTATTAACATGATGTAGAATTTTGAAGAATTTTGAAGTATGTTAGACCACCTCCAGCAGAGGTTTTTCATCATAGTTCGCCAGCGTAACAACCAACTTTTTGATCAAAGCATTGCTACAGCTGTTCAACGAATTAAAATTATGCAACGGCATTTCATCAATTTTTTATATTAAAATATTAAAACTAGTCGCTCAAGGCTATTTTTTTTTTCAACTTATTTTTTATTATAAATATAATTTTTAGAAAAAAATTTACCAATACAATTTTCTTTCACTTTTATTTTCTCTTCCATTTCAAATTTCTCTCTCACAATTTCATCATTTTATTTATAAATTTTTAATTTTTTTCATCAATTTTTTCTCATTAGCCTTCTTTTGACAAAATATTTAACCCAAATTTTCATCTTTTTATTTCAAATTACAATTGTTTAGGCCAAATGGATCCTAATCATTTTCATTATCAACAAGCTATGTTCAATTACATGCAAAATTATCAAAATCCTAATCCTCAAAACTCTCAAATTCCATCTGTACCAACAAACTCCGCCATATTTTTTCTGTCACCAAACAATACAAATATGTATCTTAGACCTGAAATGAATTCTAATAGTATGGAATTTTCTACTCAAGTTCCACCATTTTCTACTCAAGTTGGTACTGAAAAAGAATAGAGGGTTGTCGTTAAAAAAAATCTCAAAAGTAATTTACAAGAGATGAAGATATACAACTTATTCAATCATGGCTCAATGTTTCAAAGGATCCAATTGTGAGAGTTGATCAAAAGACTGAGATTTTTTTGTTAAGAATCGCTGCCAATAATAACCAGTATCGTGGGCAAGATCGGGAAAAGTTAGGGGGACAATTTAAATATTGATGGCATCGAATAAATGGCTTGATTCAAAAATTTGTTGGGTGTTACAAACAAGCTGTTAATGGAAAGAAAAATGGGACATCGGAGAACGATATCATGGCCGTTGCACATGCTTTTTTTTACTCAGGATCAAGGTACAATATTCAATCTTGAGTACGCATGGCGATTGTTAAAAGATGAACCTAAATGGATGAGAGAATCGATTGGAAGTTCTTAAAAAATAACAAAGACTTCTGCTAGTGGAGCATCATCGGAGAATCCAAATACACCTTCAAGTTATGAGTTTAACTCATCATCGCCAATGGAGCGTCCAATGGGATAAAAAGTAGCAAAAAGGAAAGGTAAGGCAAATGAAATTCCAACTGCAACGCAAGATGCAAGGAATAAAAGAACAACAGCAATGGAAAGACTAGTGCAATGTAAGGAGGACGAGATAGAATTAAAGGTAATGCAAATCATGATGAAAGACACTTCTACTATGAACGATAGTCAACGAGATATTCATGAAAAATATTGTAATAAGGTGAAAAAAATATGGAATGTAGTTAGTATCACTTATGTAAAATGGTCATTAGTACCACTTTAATTTATCAACACCTATGTAAAATGGTCATTAGTACCACTTTAAATTATAATAAATATTATGTTATTCAAACTAGTCGTTATTCCAGCTAGCCGTTATTCAAACCATTATAACAAACTAGCCGTTATTCAAACTAGCCGTTATTCAAACTAACCGTTATTCAAACCATTATATATACTACCACTTATGTCATTGTTTTCTCATTCTCATCTTATTCTTCTCTCATTTTTCTCTCTTCTTTACTCACTAAAATGGATTCAGACAATTCAGATAATTACGATCAAAAAGTTTGGGAGTTGAATGAAGAAGAATTTATGGACAACAATGATGAAGAACAACAACTTCAGAATGAACGTCAATCTGGAAGTTCCTCTCGGCCAAAGAGAAGAACAACGGTAGATCGAGGTCGTGAAGAAGGGCACAATCGATTATTCAATGACTACTTCTTAGAAAATCCAATATACACAGATGTTCAATTTCGAAGAAGGTTCAGAATGCATAGGCATGTATTTCTTCGAATTGTAGATGCCCTTAGAAATCATGATGAATATTTCCAAATGAGGGTCGATGCAACTGGTAAAATGGGTCTTTCATCATTGCAGAAATGTACATCTGCTATTCGTATGTTGGCGTATGGGTCTCATGTTGACCTTGTAGATGAATATGTTCGAATTAGTGAAAACACTTCAATTGAGTGCTTACAGAGATTCGTTCAGGGCGTGAATGTTGTATTTGGGGCTGAGTATTTGAGAAATCCTAACAACACTGATGTTGAACATCTTTTACAAATAGGAGAGTCACGTGGCTTTCTAAGTATGTTGGGTTCCATAGATTGTATGCATTGGGAATGGAAAAATTGTCCTGTTGCATGGAAAGGACAGTATTGTCGAGGTGATCATGGTAAGTCCACAATCATGCTTGAAGCAATGGCATCACAAGACTTATGGATTTGGCGTGTTTTTTTTTTGGTATTGCGGGTTCAAACAATGACATTAATGTGTTAAACCAATCCAACGTATTTAACGATATTTTGGAAGGACATGCTCTCAATGTGCAATATACAATCAATGGGACACCTTATAATATGAGGTATTATTTAGTAGATGATATATATCCTGAGTGGGCTACATTTGTCAAGACCATTTCAATGCCACAAGGAGAAAAGAAAACATTATTTGCTCAACATTAAGAGTTAACTAGAAAAGATGTGGAGCGGGCATTTGGAGTGCTTCAATCTCGATTTGCAATTATACGTGGCCCAACGCGTGCCTGACACATGGAGACCCTCAAGCATACCATATATGCCTGCATCGTATTGCACAACATGATTGTGAAAGACGAACGACATACATATGTAGGTAATTTTGATTACTCTTATGATAATGTGGATAACAGCAACTCAACAACTGAAACATTTAACGGTCCTTATCCGATTCTTGCAACAAGACTACAAAGAAGAGCAAGTATTCGTGAAAAACAAGTTCATCGTCAACTTCAAGGAGATCTAGTCGATTATATTTGGAGATTTTGGACATGAATATGATGAAATTTAAGTTTGATTAATTATGCGATGTTATTTATTTCTATTACTTTTAATTATATGTCATGTATTTGAGATTAATTTTAATTATCATTTTAAATTGTAAGTTTAATTTGAATTTTATTTATTTTATATCAATTTTAATTTAAATAATCAAAATTATTATTTTAAGTGATATAAAATTTAATATGAATAAAATATTAATATATAAAATAAAATTGTAGGACTCAATATAAATTTTTCAGAATTACACCATTAAAATAAAAAATTAATTATTTTGACGTAGTTTAATAGATTCTAAAAAAATAAAAAATAAATTCACCATTGGAGATGATGTTAATCTCCTTAAAGTTCATGCATTTTTAATTTAATTTTCATAAATATTGTCTGTCATTTTGGACAACTGTCATCAGAGGTGGCATAAATACTGTCATATGAATGTGTTTTTTTGTTGAGTCATATTTCTATTATGAGTACTAAAAGAGTGAATGAATCAGGGTATTGAGGCTTTAGAAGGGACATAAATATTGTCATCTCGGACAACTTTCATCTGAAGTAGGGTGGAATTATTATGATACCATGAGCCACAAGTTTTTGGGACCATGTCACAAGCATACAAAAAAAAAGATAATTAATACCTATAGCCCGTAGAAGCATTCAAGCATACATAGTTTAGCATTTATAATAAAAAATACCATGTGTCAGACTGTTGCTTCTGCATTTTTTCAGAATTCATAATAATGTAGTATGTGCCTATTTTTGTAGTAATTAATACTTATATTACTAAATCTTTAAAATTATCTCAATCTCAATTCTCGATGCTATCTTACAGCCACATATAAAATAACCAAAATTGTTTCTTTATGAATATGGAATAGTTTGTTTGTCAAAATTATTTATGTAGTGTTTTATTCTATTTTAATTAAGCTTCTCACACTAGTACTTTTCCTTGTAAGTTCTAACTCCTCTCTACTATTCATTCATTTTAATTTGTTGAATGAAATTAATAACACTCATTTAAAAAATAATTACCTACAAGTTTATAATTGCAAATCTTAGATACTGTCATAAAATAAAATAAACATTATGATTGAATTTTAAAATCATTTAATTCAATTGATTATTTTTAAAAGAATTTAAATTGAAAAATATATTTTTCTCTAATATTTGCGTGTAAATTATTGCTGGAAATTGACCTAATTATGAAATATATATAATGTTAATAAATTTGGTTATGGGTCTCATAATTAATTTGCGATCAAAAATATTTAATTTATGTTTAATTGAAAATATACAACAATGGTTTTATTTTTTTCCTCTAATATAATTTAAATAATTTTTTTTCATCCTATTATGAATATTATATGAAACTATGAAAAATTATCAATTATTTTTTAAAATATGCAAACAAATGCGCTTACCAAATCAGTATGTGTATGTAGGCGTTGATGTAACTACGGGAGAAAATTTAATATTGAAATAAATACCATAAAAATATGAGTCACTTATTGAAATTAATACAATTAAAAAATGATTGAATAAATGTTTTTAATTGGCAATATTATTTTATCTATGTTGTAGTTGGAAAAATCACAATTTATAAATACTGTCAAAATAAAATTAATATTTATAAAGCGGAATAAATATATTATTGATTAAAATATTTTTATATAAAAAAAAGAATACTATTGTTATAAATGAGAACAACTAAATTATTGATTCAAATATTTTTATAAATATTATCAAAACAAAAATAATATTTTAATTTAAATATTTTTATAAACAGGAACACTTTACTATTCATTCAAATATTTTTATAAATATTTTCAAAACAAAAATAATATCTTAATTTAAATATTTTTATAAACAAGAATAATTTTATTGTTGATTCAAATATATTTATAAATAATATCAAAACAAAAATAATATTTTGATTTAAATAATTTTATAAACGGAAACAATTTTACTATTGATTCAAATATATTTATAAATAATGTCAAAACAAAAATAATATTTATAAATGAAAAAAAAATATATTATTAATAAAAATATTTTTATATACGGAAACAAATACTATTGTTATAAATAGGATCAGTTTTACTACTGATTCAAATATTGAATAATAGAAAGTTATCGACCACTGTATCCTCTCTTATAACATAATTATCTTATTTGTTAAAAATACTTAAACAATTATTTTTTCTAATACAAGTTTCAATAATTTTTTTAATCATATTATTAATGATATTGTTGTTTACCTTTCATCTTTTACATGTATTACTATTTCAACTTAAATTTACTACTATTCTTAAATTTTTTCTATTTTCAACTTTTAAAATTTATGATAATATGCCAATAAATACGCGTCCAAAATTATTTTCTACCAAAAAAAACTTATTCCATGCATAGACACGAGTTTCTTACTATTTTAACTGTAAAAATTTAAGAAAATTTAGCATTAGACTTTTTAAATACCTTTAATTATAAAAGTGCTTCATCTTAACCCAATTGGGCATTTCTACTCCACTTTAATGGAAAAATGCTAGTTTATTTCCGTTTTAAAAAAATAATTTTTTATATTATAAATTTGACTTAAATGGATGTCAATTCTTTTAATTTAATTTTAGATTCTCACTTGATTCTATTAAATATTAAATGTTACACTTTAACCCTTTAA